AAATGTTCTCGGCCGGATCAAAAACATCCGAACTGAATGAAAGCAAGATTATTTTTAAAAGTGTGCTATCCTGTAACCATTATTGCCAAGTCTCCGTTTTCCATCTTTATTTGTTTGCATGTGATTATCCGTTGAACTGACCATGGTTGTACAATTTCTAAAATTGGACAGATCTAAAAGCCGAGCTCTGATCAAGGGATTGCAGAAAAAGGACATGACACCAAAGAAGGTACATTCTGAAATGTTTAAGACACTAGGTGAGGACTTCCCTTCATATTCTACTGTTATGAATGGGGTTGCGAATATAAAGACGGGCAGGAAGAGCATTGTAGATTACTCGCGGTCTGATCGCCCAAACTGTTCGACGTGTGGTGATCAGGTGGAACCAATTCACCGAATGACATTGAATGAGAACAGGTTATCTTCCCAAGAGAGCTATGATTATGGGTTTCAGTTGGGCTCAGGGCATGTTATTTTAACGAAACATCTTGGGGATAAGAAAATTGACTGCTAGAAAGGTACCAAGAATGCTAATGCCTGAGCAGAAATTGAATAGGCTGGAAATTTGAGGCAAATTTTGACCCGTTTCAAGCCAAATACTATGAGTTGTTCAAAAGGTTGTTACCCAGGATGAAACCTGGATGCACCAACTTGAACCCGAATCAAAGATTCAAAAACAATGGAAAAACAGTGCTTCTAATCCAAAGACCTTTCGTCAAGTCGCGTCCGCGCTATATCTTCTGAGGCAATGAAGCTGTAGTCATAATAACCATGGTGCTGAGGGGTCAAACTATCACAGGCCAGTATTACGCTTCAGAATTGTACCTAATTGAAACAAGAAGTCAACGAAAAGCGAAGAGGGGAGCTGACAGCAAGAGTATTTTTTGGCAAAACAACGCACAGGTTCACACTTCTTAAGCGGCTGAGTCAGAAGCAGCTATCTGTGGCTGCGAATTGTTGCCAAACCCCGCTTATTCACTAGCTCTGGCTTCATTAGACTATTACCTGTTCCCTAAACTGAAATATCACCTCCGGGGCCAGTGATTTGTCAAGACCGATGAGTTGATTAGCACTGTGGAGCTATTTTTAATGGAAGAGTCTTCGAGCTTTTTCCACACAGGGATATCAAACCATGAACATCCCTGGACTAAGTGTGTTTAAGTTATGGGAAATTTTGTTGAAAAGTAATGACGAACTACTTGGCTAGCTGGATGCTTTCTATATCGGGAGGAGAACTTTTTGATCTACCCACGTAAATTTAGTCCTTCTGTCCTAGGTACAAGTGTGTGGCTGCATTTGCACATTTGTGAGTCCCTGTGGGGGCAGTGAGACTGGATTTTCATCGAGCGTATGTGCTGTCGTAACCCATTTCCGCACCAGTCCTTGAACACGTACCCTGTCTCCTACCTTATGCTTTCCTAAGGAGTTATGATAAACTTGTCACCAGGGTATTCACCTGTAGAGCCACCAAAGTTCGTGCTCCAAACTTCACGAGCCGTAGCCCGTTTCCGGCCTCCTTGCTATCGTTTGTATCCTCCAATGCGGTTTCCAATTGACACATAAGGGCACTTGATAGAATGAATTCGTAGGCTTCAGCCGTCTAACATGTAAGTGCTTGTGCGGTTTTTTAATGTACGGCTTTAAAATTCGTTGGTAAGTGCGAGTAACTACCAAGTGCTCTGCACCCTTATGCTGTGATTCTGGCCTTCGGAAACAACATATTTTCACTCGAACAATACCATGTTGCTAGTTATCTTTTTAACACGTTTCTGCATATCGGTATGTGTGTAGCTCGTTTTTGAAAACCATCTATATAGGAGCAGATGAAATACAAAGCAGTACGGACATAGTACTCTTCCTTCTCACCGATCATGCGGCTGATGATCGCAAGCAGGCAGGTGCGGATATTTTGCAAACGCAGGCTTAATGATGCTGGACCAGAAAGGTATACCGAAGCAACGTACAACGCCTGAAGATCCCACATCTTGCATGTATTAGTTGAGCGTATTCTTGTGTGGCTTTAACATGGCAAGATGTTGACCACGTTGACTTCCTAGCCGCAGTTCTAGACCCGCCCTCTCCAACCACTGCAGTCGCTCGGTAGATTAATAAACACTTGTTCATTAAGCATATGCTTACAGATGAGTAGTAGGAGGAGTTGAATCGTATATGTCAAAATTCGTCACATCTGCTTACTTAGACAGCGTTCACACACCCGGAAAAGACCTGTAAGCGTGTTTCATCCTTTCGGGAATCGTCAGCAACGCGCAATCCAGCGGACCCTGGTAAGGCTCGAACCTGCAACTCGACTGTTGCCGTTCCGTGGTTGCGACCACTGAGCTACAGGGAACGGCAACGACCGTCAGTATGCAGACCAAACTGCTTATAATGCTAGAAGTTAATTGGCGGCTTAACTTTCGTAAGTTCGTCGCTTGATGAGGGGGCTACCCTGTCCCCTGCACGGCAGTAAGGTGCAAGTCAGTGGATAGTGAGCGGCACTATATCACATCTAGTCACTCATTCACCATGGTTGTTACCGTGCCCCGTAGCTCAGTGGTCTAAACCACGGAATGGCAACAGTCGAGTTGCGGGTTTGAGCCTTACCAGGTCTGATGGAATGCGCACTGCTGACGACTCCCGAAAGATTGAAAGGCGCGTGCCGCGCTTTTCCGGACACGTGATGACTGTATGAGTGAGTCTAGATGTGCCGAATTTCTATGTAAGTATATGCTGCTCTACAATTGTCCGTAGTCCAATAAAAGAACGCAATGCGTTTGAAAATCTTGTAGTTCGGTATAACGGATGAGATGTCTCAGTTTAAAAATGCCTTGAGGACGCAATATTCCTGCACCAAGTTGGCGAAACGCAGTGCTTTGGAGCAGGAAATTTCCCGCCACTCTGATCGGGACGGTAGAGGAAGAACTTTCCGTTGGGCAGTAATACGTGCTGGCTGTGCAGTTTTAAGTTGAAGAAACTAACATTTCCATAAGTAAGTAGCATAATGCGTGAACCAGGTGAAGAGTGAGTTAGAGCCTCTAGTAACCAGCTGTTTGATAGGTTGTGTTATGCAAGCGCCGCGGCACAGCTGTGTGATTGTTTGAAGTAAAACAGGATCAAAGGCTGCAATACAAGAGTCAACTGGAGGGCAACTTACCAAACATTTTGACGGAAAAATAAGTTTGGAACAGAAAAGAAAACAACAGCAGTGAAGGCGAGATTAGATTATTTGAACTACCAGGGCTCTCAGCACTATCCGATGTTCGTGAGCCCGGGTTCCACTGCACTCACATGTGTGCACAGAGGAGTCATCCTGTTACAAAAATACTTCTGCTTACTTTGTATCGTTTCAGAATACAATAGCATAACTCTACCTGATCCAGGAGGTGCAACTTGTGCGACCAGAATTTTAACTTAGACGGCTAATGTTCAATTATGTATTGACAGTCAGTTCTTGATTCGCAGACGCATCGAACCCCTGTAGTGCATAAAAACTCAGAAACAACGAAGTTGCTTGACTGGATTAGCTTTCTCTGGCATTCGACAGTGGTTGAAATCCACCAATGCTTTACATCCACGATAAGCTCCTATATGATGCACACTGGAAAAAGTTTGAATTAACTTCTTGGTAAACATATCCCGTCCAGTTAGTTACTGTGGTGAGCTACACGCATTTTCTGCACCACCATCAACTCTTGTCAGACATAGGTTAGAAATTATTTTTGTGGTCCAGAAGTGGTACTGTGAAGTTAATGAAATCCTTATATAATGGGGCAAGTGAGTGAGACAAATTTCACGCAACGGACTCCATCCCCAACGTGGCCTTAACATGACAGGTAACTCCTGACAAGAATCTCCTTATATCTCACCGGCCTCTCCGAAACATGATGCATGTGTCACGGTCGAAAGTATGTCAACTCACCAGCCATGGGACGTGAAGTATCCCTCCGGTGTGATGGTGCGAATTGAGCAGCACCACAGCGAACACCAATGACAGCGAGCACAGGATGATGGTGCATGTAAAGTAGAGCACTTGTTCCCGCAAAATTTCCAGCATCGCCAATCCCATGGAAATCAAGATAAAAGGACAAGGTGAATACAAGATTGGATCTAAGCTACTCATATTCATCTTAGTTGGCGATGGAACCGAATAGGAGGTACTAAGTATGTACTAGGATGGGGCACTTTGAAAATACGTACCAAAGAAAGTAATGAACTGATCTACCATATGGCATAACAGCTGAAAAGGGGTAACTTCTTAAATTGCCTACAGAGGCACGTCGACAAAGGCGGTAATCGATTAACGATAGCTGATCTGTATGGAAAACATTTGGATGGACTTTAATGCCAAACGGACAGTTGTTTAGATCCTACTTAAAAGCACATGTTTATAGGGTATGTTGGAATGGACTAGCGCACCTACTCAGAGCATTTTGCGACAACACACTTGTCAGGTCAATGTGTTGTTTCCCTACTGAGCATTTTAAATGTCCACTTGCGTTATTACAGACTACTGAGAACCCAGTCGGCAACTGGAATCACTTTAGGGGTACAGTGGTTCTATTACGAATAGACCGTGACTGTGACTTTATGAATTACAACAGATAAGGTGAAAATGCGATCAGAATGTTTTTTTTCTAGAAGCTTGTCTATACTATCATCTTTCCCTTTAAAAAGCACCCAACTCCAAAGGTGGACCCAACATGTACGTTACGGATGTAAGTGAGAATGCCTGGTATGTTGACCTCTAGTTCTTTCGGAAAATGCGTTCGTCAGTGGACAGCGTTATTCCCAGCACGCGAAACTGGCCACTTCTTCACTTGTTTATGGCAGCTGCAAGTTAGGTTCAGTAGAAAGAAGTTACGGAAATTGTTACTTTGTGTGAGAATGGCATATTCAGCTGTTCTGAGAGGACATGTTTGTACTTGTCTTACCCAAAACAGGATTGCCTGCTGACGTCTGTGGTAACTTGTCTCCAACAAGCTGTAATAGCATGGTCAACGAAAGTAAGGTGGTCACGCCTGTAACGGAAACAGAAGACGTTTGGTGCTCGCATCATTGGGTGCAATGGTATTGCCCGGCGCGTTAACTTGCATAAGGGATGACAGACAAAGAACAAGCAGCGATGATATTTATCGGCCGATGCTTTTATCCCTAGGTGAAGGCTTGTACGAAGCAAAATAGTTACACTTAGAAAGCAAGATATCATAATTTCAGTTATATGGCATTAAAAAAAAGGTTGGCACATTTTTCCGTTCGTTTAAACTGGGGTAAATTTAGTGGATATCTTGAAAAATATTTAGAACCGATCGAGAAGTCATCGTTTCAAAAGGTTTGGAAGCTTTTAAGTAAAAAGCGAAACGTTGTATAGTATAAAAACACACCAACTGGTCGTTTACCAAACCTTTTGAAACCATGACTCCTCGATCTGTTCCAAATATTTTCCAAGATATCCAGTACAGATACGGACCTCGTGTTCTCAAATTGGCAAGAGAATTTGTGCGTCTAGCAGGCATTGAAGCTAATTGGGAAAATCATCGGGTTTTCAACCTTAGGTGTCTCAAGAACAACGTAATTCTCAAATCACTCACTGTGAAACCCCTGGATTCTTTGTACATTTCTGCAAGAATAGCCCACAGAGCAGGCAAAGCATTTCTGAGACAAAGGAGTTACCAAACAACTATACGTCTGGGTGAAATTCGTCTTCATGTGAGTCAGCTTAGCTTAGATTTATAGACTGAGGTGACACAACTGCTTATGAGAGACTTTTAAGTAATGCTTCCGAAGTTAAGGCAGCAAGATGACGGGAGTCGAAAGAAAGTCAAACATTTGATGGTTGCAAATGATAGGGCCGATAGTCGTATCCAGAAGCATGCATCTAGTAGGAACTATTGCAAGCTTGTTAACATATCAGATAGGGTATTATGTGTTACTGAGCATAGAGTTTAAGAAAAGGGCTTGCATTTCATTAGCAAGACATCTAATCTAAGGGCAGAAGATGTGATTCCCGGATTTGGAACTTCTATGGCGATATTATCAGTTGAAAAGGCAGAGGACCTCCGTGCACAATGTGCAAATGTAATTAGATTTCAATAGCCTGCAGAACCTAAGCTTACACCAGTCGAACACTTAGCACTAAGGACTATGAGGGCGGATCCTAGTATTGCCATTACAAGGGCGGATAAATGTAAAGTAATAGGGGTAATGAATACAGCAACTTCTTTGAAAAAATGTGGGAGCATTTGATTGTGGGACCATACAAGGTGGTTAAACACAAAACGATCCCATTGGCAATGAATAAGAAAACAACAGATGTCGGTAGTTAACTAAGGCCCCTAAAAGACAGATTAGGTAAGGGTAAGTAGTTCAGTATTTATCCAAAATCGGCTATTCCACCTAGAATTTAAGATCCATCAAGTCTAACGTCCCCTTACGACCTATAGTGGACGGTATAGGCTCTCCCACGCATCAACTGTCGAGATACCTGGCGAGCCTACTGCAACCCCTAACAGGGAGAACGAGTACATTTATAAAGAACTCTTATAGGTTTGCACGAATGGTAAGCGGTATGACCATCGAGCAAGATGAACTGGTCAGCTTCGAGGTTGTCTCTTTGTTCACTAATGTACCCAAGGACGGGGCGTTACGAGTAGCGAGAAGCTGCTTGATAGAAGACAGCAGCTTAAAGTGGATCAACCGGTCGGAGAGATAGCCTTGTGCCTCGACATGACTTATTTCACATTTCAATAGGGTACTTACACCCAAGCAGAGGGACTGGACATGAGATCTCTAAAATCTCCGGTATTGACAAATATGTACATGGAAGAGTTTGAGAATGCATTAGCAAGTTTCCGGGCGCTCTGAAAGTATGGTGGCACCACGTGGACGACACTTTCGCGAATATAAAAAGGATAGCAAAGATGAATGGTTAAAGTATTTGAAATCCACTGACGGTGCAATAAAGTTTACTGTAGAACTTGATTTGCAAAGCAGCACACACCCGTTCCTCGATTGTTTAGTCCACATGAACGAAGGAACGCTAAAAACGACAATGGACGCAAACGGGGTAATTAGCTATAGTTCGGGCCACCCCAAACATGTTTATGCAGAAATCGCTTAATCACCATTTCACAGAGCGAGTGCTCTTTGCACGGGGGAAGAAGATCAAAAAAAGCAGCTCAGAAGGATGCCATGCAATACTTAATAGCTAGCAGATATCTGAGGTGATTAGTGAAAAGACAGCTACTTAAATGTCTTAACCCACGCGCAAGGCCAACCACGGATTGGATAGCGAAAGTGGGTATTTCGTCTAAAGAAGCAACTTCGGAAGCGCTCCGAAGAGCACTGAATACAGTGATCGTAAGGGTAGTTTTCCAAAAGTATAAAACACTACGGTCAATGCTTGTGCATTTAAAGGACTCTCTTTCCTTTGATAGCACAACTAACTGCATTTACAAAATCCCTTGTAAATATTGTGCGTAAGTGTGTATAGGCCAAACGACGAGGGAATTACGCACAAGAATCACAGAATATAGGTAACACGTAATAATGCATGCCGTTAAGAGAGGCAGCTTGCTATGTGTACATAGCAAAAGCTCGTATTTTTAAGTGGAGCACCTATGTCGTGCAGAGTAATGGAAGCCTTTGAGTTAAAACGGAAACTTTGTACAGTATAACAAATACACTATCCGATCGTTTGCCAAACCTTTTAAAACGAGAGGTTAACTTTACTTCACCTTAAGCAATCTAAGCTGTTTAGCAGCTGTGTTTTGTATTCTCTACCGTGCGGTCACACAGGTTCGTCACTCTTGCTTTTGTGTAAATCACTTCCCCCCTTGCTAGACACGATTGAGCTTACATTTATTCGACTCCTATTTATCAGCCCTTTAAGGTTGCAAACCGTCATTTAAATTATTCTCATCGCCAAAACCTCTGTCTCACGCTTGCGTTTCTGACGGAAATTTCGTTAACACTCACAAATGAAACCATCTCAGCTTATCATGCACCGCTTGTGTTTATGCCCTCGTTCGAAATTGCTTACTGAAGCCATCCAGTTAATCGGAAATCGTGCCTCTCCTGTACAATTCACCGTCATTTTCTTTCAATTTCTCGATATGTTGCTGTTCCCCCGGGATTGAAGCGAAAGCGAGAAATAACCCTGTTATCGACATCCTTCGTGACCTTGTCCGCCATTGCGATGACGCAACCTCACACGGACCAAACAGCCCCCGACCAATAGTCCTCGATCAAGTAACCTTTATTGCCCTAAGGCGTCTGACCAACATGCGCAGCGACCAAAGTCGCAATACTACAGAATATCAACCAGCTCAATGGGTCCTTTTGCAATACCACATTGCATGGCAAAAAGCAAGCACATGTAAGTTCGAAATGGCTCCAGCAGAAGCGCGTCGGTACGTCAGGTAAATGTAATTGCCTACTCAACTTAAGGTTAGGCTGCTCACATTGTTCTAACCGGTATCATAAAAGGGGTGCAAATTTATTCCAAAAACAGCTGCTTGAGCGGAAGTGATCCTAACACGTCCATCTGTTTTGTACTGCGTTTTCGATTATACCATTCGTCAAGTATGTGCTACCATAGTCCAGCATTACGACCCGTTAGCACCAGAAGCCGAACAGCGGATGTACCTTAAGATCACTTTGTTGGAAGTGAGTACGGGCTAAGCAAGCATAGTTGCCTCTAAGGGAAGCAATGGCGCACAAGTTGCTTCTCTTGTACCAAGATTGTCAAAGATCCCATCGCCGTCAACGCTTACAACTATGGCAGAACGTCATGTAATAATTAGGAACCACCCAAAACGTGTGATAGATCAAATACCTCCGGTCACAACAGCTCTCCTTAACAATGAAAAGCCGGTTAAACAAAAGTCCTTTGCATCTCAAGTGCAAAGGTATATTACCAAGTCAAAGTCCCCTGCACAAACAGGCACAGGTATAGCGATTCCTCCAAAGGTCAGCAAGGAGGCCATTTTTGTGGAACTTTCTTATACAAACATCGCTAACGCAAATAGAAAGATAAGCAGTAGACAACCACCACGTGGGAGAAAAGCAGAACCAAAGATCTCGCGAGCTCGTAGTTCAAAGAAAAAGGGATCCAGCAATAGCGCCTGAACTGCTGTGTGTACAAATGTCCCCGCTATCACCTTGCGAAGTAAGTTGTCTGACGATCAACAAAAATAGAAGTAAACAGAAATATAAGAAAACGGAAGCTATCAAACAACCCAGTCACTTCGTGCCTTCACCTCAGTCACCTACAAGGCAAATAACAATATGAAAAAACAAGGTTGGATGCGATCGATTGATGGTCAGCTGATGGCCAACAATTACTGCGGCACTACCACGGCAGGTTCAATGTTACTATCAACTACTTCTGTACGCACAGAGACGGCCGCTCTCAATCTATTCCAATGGCTTCGAGTAGCTTGAGTATATGCGGCCTTTGATTTCTCATGAGTCATTTGGGTTGATCTGGTGGCCGGTGTTCAGTAGATGCCTAGTGATTTTCGAAGCTATCTTGCCTCTGGATGCACTCAGTGCTACCGTCCGAGACCCCATCCGCTTGCGCGACGTTTTAGGGATGTGCTCATCGATCCTGACGCTTAGACTCCGGTCAGTGTGTCAACCATAGCTGCCACTGCAGCCATAGGAAAAGTTGTAGAAACCGTGGGACATGCACTGCTTCGTTGTCGGTGTCTTCAATGAGCACATAAGCAATGGTCTTGTTGATGTGAGCGACCGCAACTCCGCTGCACTATACGCCTTTTTCAAAGTGGCGCTTATCCGTTTCTTTGTGACCTTCAGATGATGAGATGATGCAGGCAGAATTCACACTCAACCGTATGTACCCAAACCTCACTGTTACCTGTGAGGCTAGGTACGATTACCGCCTCTCATACCTCAACGTTTTGCTCCTACGAAGACAGGATGGTTCCATCAAGCGGTCGGTCTACCGGAAAGCAACCTTAACGGGCCAATATTTCAACTTAAAACATTCTTACCAGTA